GTCTCTTTCAAGACCTTCCCCAGCGCAACGAAGGGTTGCACGTCTCCGCGCGAGCCGACGACCTGAATAACAACATTCAAGGGTGGGGGTGGAGGAGCCCCTTCCTCACCTCCTAATGAGGGCGGTATGTATGTGGGAGGAGCCGGACTGCTGTCTTGGACACTTTTGAGGTGGTCACGTAAAGCAGGAGTAAAGACCTGGGATAAACGACGGTTGAGCTGATTGATGCGGATATTGACACGACCGTCGTCGGTCACAGATGCGCTAGTGCCTAAACCGTCTTTTTCGTTTCGAATTTCGCCATAGATATCGCCGTACGGAGGGGGTGGAACTTCATCATCGCTCACATCGGCAGTGAGGAGGTCGGTTTGCTGTAAAAGGACCTCTTGTCTCGTTGGTCCTGCAGTTTCAGTCTGGCTTGCAGCGGCGGCCGCAGCGTGTGCTTGCTGAAGCATGGAATGCTGCGCGACGGTCTCTGGAACAAACTGGTCATTCTCTACTGGAGTTTGTGTGGTCATGGTTTGAACGAGACAAGGCAGGCTGCACACGGGGTTTCGTCCCGAGTAAGCACGACACCAGTACTACCTATATTGTCAAACAGAGGCTGATGCCCTTGGATACGAATAGCCCCAAACATCGTATAAACACACTTGTCTATACTGGTCCTCAACGATTCCAAGGTCATCTTAGTGGTGGGCGATGCGCATGAGAAGGATTTACACGCGGTCGCGAAGGCTTAGATGGGTAGACCTTGCGAGGCTAAACGCGGGTAATCGTCACCCCGTAATGACGTCATTCACAGTAATCGCTTTTTTGAAGATGGCAAGACGCAGTGATACGAGATACGCACAAGCCCGTATGGTTCCAACTGTGCCTGTACAGTCAGACTCTTGTAGAGAAGAAAGAGCTGGGCATCTTTTTTTTTCAGCATTCATTTGCTTCTCCTCGTCAAGTGTTCGTCATTCGATATTATGTTCATCCAGTATGCAAGATTGCTCAGAACCTTGGGAGGCTAACATGTGATGCACAATGTGCGGTATGGTAAGAGACAGGTGGACACAATCGATCACATAGTAGCCACAACAAAGTCCACAAGAACGGAATTGTTGCATTAAAGCACTGATGACATGAACGTTGGTTCACTGGATGGCTAATGCTACTTCGTCGCTATGTCCACAAACGCTGTGTCTCACTCAACATCCGTATACGATCCTGAAGCCCTGCACCGGGAACGCAGGAGGTGCAACATTGGAGAATTCCCAGTAGTTCGGCGCGGACGGACTGTCATACATCATGGCCATCTGGAATGACAATGTCTGATTGCATGCTGTCGCATTGATAGCGGCGACGCCGCCGACACTCCTTGTTCTCTCTAGCGCTTGGCTTTGACCATTGACCGTACCGAATAACAAGGCATCCTTCTCCTTCTCATATGTGTTCCATGTAGCGATCGCACCAGCTTCTCGTGCGACTTGGTATATGTTGAAGCTTGGGTTTGGGCCGGAGATCTTTTGGAGCTCGGGGCGTGGGAGCACAAATTCTAGACGGCAGGTGTAATTCGATGTGCTGTCGGGTAGGCCCTGAAACTGTACTCGCGTAGCGATTTCTCCAGCATCCTTGAGTTGGCGGCGTAGCATAAAGAACTGCTTGGCTTGATGTAGGTGGTCGATATCGTAGTCGGGATAGCGCGCGTTGAGGACAGTGAGATCGACTGGGTAGACTTCGTGGCATACATATTCGGTCGAGTTGAGGGGAGGAGGGTTTGCAGCAGTGAGATCGCCTTCACAAAGATGAGCGGTCGAGTTACAGATTGTATGGTTTTCCAGGAACGTTGAATTTGGTTGCGGGTATGGTGCACCGAAGGTATGCTGAGAGAAAAGAGTGGCGAGCGAAAGAATTGCGATGCTAAACATCTTCTTTCTTTGAGCAGTATCCTATGAGTTGTGTTGGTTGGGAAGCCTAACAGAATGATGATAAGTAATTCTAAGGCGTCTCGTAGGTAGCTTTGGGATAATGAGGTGGTGTTAGGAAGCGTTTGAGAGTTGACAAGGAGCAAAAGGTTCGTCGAAGAACATTGGATGTTACCCAAATATCGATCTTTCCCTCAATGCGTAATATGGGCATGAGCAGCTTTCCATGTGGAAAGTGAGATACGCTGCATGCGCTTTCAGTCGGGTAATGGCAAGTTCGACTGAGGCCTTGCCGCTGCTCTACCGGGATTTATGTTGAACCATACTTGCCGTCGACACAGCATGCTTTGGATAGTTGCTTTCTTCAGATTTAACTTAAAATGTAAGTGAGAGCAATTCTGGTGTGTAAGACGTGTGCAGATACTACCTCGGGAGTGAACGTCAATGTCTTCTCACGTCTACTACCTGATTTTAGAACGATCCGAGGCCTAGGAGATCGACTTTAGTAGTACGATGTCCGTCTCTTCCGCTCCCACTTCGATAACTATCTCCACGTTGTGCGAGCCGTCGTTTACATCCTGCGCTTCTGTAATATGTCCATTCCGATAGATACCATATCTCCCAGCAGGCAGGTTCTTGACAAGGAGCCGGACGCTTGATGTCATCAGTTTTTCCCTCAAATTATGTGATGGAAATTACAACTTACCTCTTCGTGGAGCCATCCCAAGTCCGCATAGTAACAACGAAAGCTCCTTTTCCTGAATCCCAGCTACCCCTAAGGAAATCGACGTTGGAAGCCAGGCTAATCTCATCGACGAACGGAAAACTTGAGAAATGCTCCCTCGACCACGGCTTTTCCCACATCTTTTTCTGGCCGTCCGGAACGTTGAGGCGCGCATAGGCGATGGCACCATTGCCCGTAAAAGGGTCTACGAACTTCCAGTTCCCATGCTCGTCCGCCTGGCTGTCATTACGTGGGTAGAAAAGGCCACCATTCTCCCACGTTGGGTTGAAGAACATGTCTGCATGACGCAGGAGACCATCGTTCAGGGCTGGGTCTGCAACCTCAGACACCCACTGAGCAACATAACCATATACCGGCTGCGCAAATGGCATACCAGGCGCTTCTTCAAGTTCTTTCGCCAAATTCTGTGCCCTTTCTTTGGTGCTCCAAGCTTGCGGATCCACGCCCTCACTTTTCGTGAGCTCGCGAATAATTTTGGCGACCTTCTCGTCGTTTACATTTACTCTCCCATCGGAGGCCTTCGTGAAGAAGCCAAGAGCTTGCTCTGGGAAGAGCGAATGGACGGATTCAGAGTTCCAGCCGTTCATGAATGCAGATGTCCTTCTGTACTGTCAACGGTCTGATATCAAATCATGCTATAAGCAACGTCTCGGCTTACCAGGCGGTGATTCCGATCCCTCCGGGTACTATACGATCTTGTTTTACCATATACCAATTGATGACAAACTTGTCATCCTGCAGAAAGCCACCCTCCTTATCCCAAGCCGCAGTGTAATTCTTTAGAACCTTGTCAGCCACAGCTGTTCCGTCGCGGATGTCATTGTACCGCATCGCAATAATCTAAAAGCCGTAAGCAAATCTCCCCCAGTTTTTCAATGGCTCAAATCGCACCGGAAATTGGTTGCAGACGATGAAAATGCTGTTCGGCTCACAGCAGACGCCCTTCCAGTTATGCCGCTCCATCTCGGCAAGAATAGCATCCTGAAGGGAACTGCGGGTGTAGGTAAATTTTTCTGGCCCGAAACCCCAGAATATCGGATCCCAATGGAACGTTAGCGCCTCCGGCTGATTGTACTTGTCGTCGTCGAAGAGCATTGCGTGTAATGAGACCATGAGGAGGAGATGTCCAGAATACTTGGAGACACTAATGTTAGACCACGTTGAACCATTCTAGTGTTTCATACACTCACCATGATATTCTCTTGCTTGTTTGGATCCGCCCAGGGTTTACGCATCTCAACCAAGTCGGGATCCACAAACTTTCCGCTCTGGCTGGTCAGGTACCAATAACCCCAGACTTCCCTCCGTAGCATCTTGTGGATGAGTTGCTCTAGTAAGTTCTTGAAAATTGATCGTAGAGCAGGTAGTCGATGATAGTGAGCGCTTCCAGCGGCATATGTCATGGTCGCCAATTGATAGCGGTAAGCATCGAGCCACTCTTGACCGGGGTCCTGGGTGCCCATGTGGTGCCACTCGCCATCGGGCTGGGAAGCCAGATTATGGAAATGGCGGAGGTGACCGGCCTGTTCGTTGGAAAGTTTAGGGAACTCAGACAGAAAGTCTTCTGTAAGTTTTGCAGGAAGGTCGTCTCGTTTGACGTCGACATCTTTGTTTCCAACCATGTGGAGCATCTCTTGGGTAGTAGTCATAGTAGCCATGGTCTCTAGACGAAGTTATGTTGATGTTCTGTATCGCAAATGAAGACAGTAAGAAGATTATGAAGTGTTCAGAGGGGCGGACGAATGGATATTGAGCAGAGACACGCTGCAGGTAAGCAGTGTAGGTTGGATAAAAGTAGGGCGGCCCCGCGTAGAACCGAACCGTGGGTTCATCGCGGAGGGCACAATAAGCTCGTTTAGTAATATGACTGCCAACGTCGATCTATATACGAGTCATATAACGCGACGTCTCCCAGTGTGAAAATACTCTTGCAGCAATGCCCTCAAAGAGACGTTATGAGCACCTCTTGCTAAAGTTACAGCAGACTCATGCCGTCAGTGACGATCTTAGCGTACACAGAATTTGGCATTTGAAAAACGTGTTACAGATGTATCAGACGAGGCGACATTATGTGAGTTGCTTCAAGAATGTGTTAGCCTTGTGGACATAAGCACCAACAGCGAGGCGTACTTGGAAGGAATCCGCATTGGCGAGAGGGACACCATAAGCACTAGCTTGACTTCGTAAAACTCAACACGGTCGTTCCGATGCATGTTGAGGATATATAATACAGTGGGGTATAGAAACATGTACCCGTCGATCGAATCATCAACGGGCGTGAGGGAATGGCGGATACGAATGCCGCGCTAAGCCAATGAGGAATATGGATCTATAGCACGCCTGATTCATGCGGCTCGCCTGCCTTCGACGACGGCTAATTGTTTCTGCTCCTCCTCTTCAAGCTCGCCAGCTTCATAGTACAAGTCTTCTTCATCTATGTCTGCGTACCCGAATATACTCCGATAGATACGCTCTCCTAACCCCTTCTTCTGAGCCATAGCTAGGACCATGACTATGGGAAGGTGCCAGATGCTAGCCCAGAATAAACCTCTTGCCGTTCCCTTCTGTCCCTCGGCTCTCCAGAATTGCCAAGCTTTGAGCGTCATCCAGCCGTTGATAACACTGCTCGTAACCACGTAACTCCAGTCAGTTACGCCACAGTATGATAAGCCGATGCAAACGGGAAACATCATGATAGAATATCGCAGTGCGACTCGTCCGTTCATTGCGGGGTTTACCCAGGCTAACATGCGATAGCCCGCATTCTTGTACTCGTCGCGGATAGCCCAACTCAGCGCATTGAAGTGAGGGAACTGCCATGCATATAGGAGGGCAGCGCATAGCCATCCGCCAGCAGAGCCCTCTCCGAACAACAGTTCTTCCCATGTGCCGTCATGGGCGTATTGACTTGCCGCAGCCGTCCAACCCATGAGCGGTGGGATGCCTCCTACAATGGCGCCAACCCAGGTATTCAGTACATGCATGCGCTTCATGGGAGTGTACACGCCCGCATACAGGAATATATTGGCAGCGCCAAGAAACGCTGTCGTGGGGTTGACGCCGTAGTAGAGGGCGCCAGTGCCGAGCACCCCGCACGCGACGGCGAAGATGATGGCGCCTCGTGGGCTGATGAGCTTCCGGACGAGTGGTCGATTGCGTGTGCGGGTCATCTTGGCATCGTGTGCGGGTTCCATGATCATGTTGAAGGCATTTGCGGATGCCGAGCACAGCGCAGTGCCGGATGTGAGGAAGAAGAGTGTGAGGGTCGAGAGGGACGGGGTGGCTGTTGCTGCGGGTGCAAGCAGCCCGGGTACGGGGTACAGTGAGTATGCGGCCGTCGCGGTGAGGACTACGAGGAAGGAGAGTCGGGGCTTCGATAGCGAAAGGTAGGTAGTCATCATGCGTTTGAGTGACTGTTGCGGGAGGCTCGAGGATATGTGTGCCAGCTTGGAGGATGCATCATGTGGAATTGGATAGGCCGTCTCCGGAGTCTCCATTGCCTGCTCCTTTGCCCTCTTCCGCCGCCTATGTGGCAGCACTTCCTCTGTGCCAGTTACGCCATCCGCCTTCGCCGCTTGCTGCCCTCCTGCATTCGCTGATCTTATGGACAAGATTGAGCTCTGCAGTTCCGGTCTTGACTTCCAAAACGTGTCTCTTAATATCGGATTCGCCCGGAAGTACCCATCTCCGAAAGCACCCCCGCCTCTCGTGGCAGCTATGGCGTTCTCTTTATGCGACGGATTGGAAGAAATCGGTCTCCGCGACTGCAGCGGCGCCTTTGCGAGTCTTCGCCAACATCGCAGACATAGTTTGTTCGTGTCCCGTACTGCAATTGGCCGGGGCAGTATCGGTCGAAAGCTCATGGCGGCATAGGGTTGAGCTGTAGCGGGCAGTCGGCGTGAGGTGATAACTTTTGGACGCATGTACGCACTGCCAAGAGTTGGGGCGCGCTAGCCACTCAGACATCCCGCATTATCACACATCGCGTCTCCTTGTCAGCCTTACACACTCCAACAAGCCACCGTGATCTCACAGTATTTGATTGCGCTATCTGGCGAGTAGCGCAACACTACAGGCATTTCGAGAAACCCTGAGCAGAACATATGAATTGTCATCAGCTAATTGACACGAATCCTGGGATCATTAACTTCTTAGCCATAGTAGTCACAATGTCTCAACAGCCTTATGTTACCTCCAGTGCTTCAATACCGAAATCAAGTCATCGACCACTGGACTAGAGATGACCATATCGCTTCAACGTTCAACCCCATTCTGAACATGGAATCCACGCGCTCACCCATCGTGCACCTGGGGTCTCTGTAAGCCGAATGTTATCGCTAAATATCCACTCGACCTGCATAACTGTACGCAGCTTGCAGCACTTTCTGGCCCCCACGCGTTCAGCCGCCACAGTTGAATGCAATCAATGCTTGACAGTGTAATCTGCATGGCACAACAGCCAACTGCTGGCTGTCAGCCTGCAGCGGACCGGCGAGGCTATGTAATTCTGCAGAGGAGCATCTCGGAGGCTGTGTAAGCCACAAGGCTACCTTTTCATGTTTCCATAGCTAGCACGTCGCTCCCCGCACCCACCGAACAGCCGTTCGCATCGTTCATCTTCAAATGGCAGATCCCCTTAGCATCATCGCGTCCGCGCTCACCGTTGGCGCAAGTGCAGCGCAACTTTCGCTCGCTCTCTTCAGCGTAGTTCAGACACTCAAGAATGCACCCCGAGAGATAGCAGAAATCGGTACGCGGCCTCTTCGTGTATTCGACTGACATTCAACTTAACAAGAGCAGCGGAGGAGATATCCTTACTCGCGGAAAGTTTGCAAACGCTCGCAGATATCATCCGTGCTCATCAAAGTTTGTGCAAGCCTGCACTTTTCAGAAACACTCAGAAAATCATACTGCGGTGCAAGCAAGTAGATGCGGAAATAAAAAAACTCATAGATACGCCTCAAAAACTAGCAGGTCTGAAGTGGTTAATAAACAAGCCCAAGGCGAAAGGTCTACTCAAGAAGGTCGAAGGCATCAAGACCGCCCTGATTCTGGAATTGAACATCGTTCGTCTTGCAAGAGAAGAGATTGTTCGACCACCAGAGTAAGCACTATCTACGATGCTGTCGAAGGGGTTGAATTGCTTACACGGTCAGATACTCCGAGCTGGACCCCGACGCCCAAGCCCGGCCCATTCCAAAGTCCAATCGGTTCCGTAAGATCGTGGAAAGTGCTGTCCAGGCAAACCGGCAAGTAGTCGAGAGTGCACAGCAGGAAGAAGATGATTCCGAGACTGCCAAACGACACTACACCACCGCAGAGATAAATGTATGGAAAGAAGGGTCCTTTGACACTGCTACATGGCTCTACCATTTCGTGTTTAGCTCAGATGACGCAGATCCTCCACCAGTGCCGAACCCGCGAACACGTCGGCTCCATCAAGCATCCGTCACCGATGAAAGCACGGAGACAACTGCGAGAAGCGCTTACTCCTCTTCTTCTGAAGACGGCATTCAGAACAACAGGCGATCGTCAGGTCCAGATGAGAAAGCCTTGATTGTTTGGAGCAGACAAACAGAGCCTGCCCTAGTAGTAGACAGACTGCTCTCTTCATGGACGACGCTTACATCCGACCAAATAAGCCTTAGCTCCACCCGCCACGATGGCGATGACTGGAGGGAAGGAGTACTGAGGATGGTGGAAGAGGCAAGAAAGGAGGACGAGCTATCTTTTGCTCAGTGGGAACAGCAGAACGCACCTGTCAGATCCGACGACGAAGAGTTCCAGAGCGCCGAAGAGGACAGTACTGTCGGTGTCAATCCGACGTACGAATTCCGTTACAATGTTCAACGCGCCCGAAAACGGAACACAAAGTCTTCTGATCGTACCAACCCATGGGCGGATACAGATGGATATTCACCAACTTACACCGACAGTAGGCCCAAGCGAAATGCTGAAGAGTCACATGTGAAATGGCAGGATGCAACACCACCGATGAGTCGGCCCACTCCACGTCCGCTTAGACAGAGGAGGTATGCAGATAAACCGCGATCTGCAGATGCTGAAGTCAAAAGGCCTACCTCCAGAGTTCATACGATTCATAGCGACCAAACGGACTCAGTTTCAAGCCCACCGAATGATGACTTCAACTATAACAAAGCTACCTCAGGTTATTTCAGTCCTTACGCAACTGGCTACCACCCGCCACCTGTCAGTTATGGATTTATGCCACCTTGGCGAGACTCGGTACAAAGGCCATCAGTTCCACCAACCCATCAAGAACCACCGAAACAAGCGTATGCATCAGGTAGTCGACACTGGTCATACTCATCCCCTCCTCCAAGTCCTCCGCCAGCCACTGCCCCAAGTCCACCTTCACCTTCACCTCCGCCTCCACTTCCACCAAATTCTGCTCAATCGGTAAACAAACAATTTACGGCGCCTGAGATAGAAGCCAAAGAGAATGCTGTTCTCGCTGCGGTAGAAAAGCTACTTGAAAAGCGCAATCAAGAATCACGAACCGAGTATGAGCAGCTACCATTTTCGAAACTGGCGCAGATATTGCAAGAGCGCGAGGTTCAAAACGAACGAGAACGAGCTAATGCAGCAACTGAGGTGTATGTCAAGCAACTGCAAGAGGCCCGTGAAAAAGATGGTGAAACAATGCAGCGACTTGAAAGCCTTGTAGCGGACCAAAAAGCAGAGCAAAGGCGCATGGAAATTATGTGGCAGGAGGAAAAGAAGGCTATAGAAGAAAAGAACGCAAAGCAAGCTGAAGAAGTGAGAGCTTCGGCAGCGAAAGAAATCGCAACAGCACAGTCGGCGAAAGAAGCAGCTCAGATCGCTCTGAATATTGAGAGGCTGGAAGCAGAAAAGGAAGCACGGAAACGAGCTGATGCCATGGTAGTAGAAGAGAGGAGAAAGACTGAGGAAGGACACAAGTTACAGTTACGGCGGTATGAAGATCTAGTCCGTGGGTTGCAAGAGCAGCAAAAGTTGGACCAAGACAACGACCGGCCAGTTCGTCGCACTCGCATTGCGAAGGGCAATCGTAGTGTGGACGTGACAGAATACGTGACTAGTAAACGAGCTTCTCCTCTGTCCTCGTCTTATTCGTCGCTGCAAGATGGCTTTGCGCGCTTGGAAATGAGGCCTGATAGGACAACAGACCATTACTGGCCTCAAAGACGCCCCCGCCATGATAGTTTTCGCAGCTCAACAGCCTCTCTCCAGTCCTCGCGTACTTCACTGGGCAACACAAACAATTCAGATACGGATTCAAGATCTCAACAGATGATCGTCTTACCCGTCCAGTCCGACAGACATTCTCACAAAATAGCCGAGTTACAGACCTCGCTGGCTGCATTTGGAATCAATTCTGCTTTCGAAGATCCTGAAGAACCACAACCCTTGGACCTTGGTCAGCTCGTACCGTACAAATACGAAGATGCAGGTGATCAGATTGTTAGAAGCACCATATTCTGGGAGTCATCCGCGCTTAGCTTAGGCAGTGAACTTTTGTTGACCATGAAGCAAGCCGGTTGGAGACCAACATACACTCGTATATCCGGTAATGCCTAGTCGCTGATCCTCGATGCCAATGTACTAAAATCTTTTAGGAAAAGGACAGACTCACTATCTAGGTAGTCAGCCCGTCCATACCTACTTCTTCAGCCCTGACTATAAGCCGCAATTTCGACCCTCAACAACAGCTCCAGGCAAGGAGTCCATCACTATTCAAAAAGCCTTGATCGAAGAGTACGCACTCAAGGAATTGGGCTTCGGATACCAAATCAATCAAGCAGGAACATACATTCTTGATGGCAGATTGACATATGTAAGAGTCACGACGCTTACAGATGCAAGACTAGTGCTAATGGTCTCCAGAGCGACATCGAAACACTGATTGAACGTTCGTTCCTAATTAGAGAGAACGATCATCGGAGATTACACCGGTCGCTGCAATGGCACTACGATAAAGATCCCGAGGTACCCATCAGTCCTTATCCAGGCACGCATGCACCTTCGCTATATTCGGCCTCATCTGTATACTCCGGTGAAAATTCCACAGTCTGCCAGGATTCCGACACGGAGACTCAAGGCAAGAAGAGCTCTTCCGTCTCTGATCCCGATCATTTTGATACTGGCGATGTCAACAACTTTCTCGTCCCCCGTGCCGACAAGTCAAGGAGGTCGGAGACACCGTCTTCCGTGGCTTCACGGACTTCGAGGGCTTCGAAATCGACAAACCCATGGGGTAAGTATATGAAGGTTACGGAAGACACTGGTTTCGACGATAGTTCCAGGTTGTCTGGCTCACCAAATCTCATAGATTGAGGACATACGCGGAGATGTGTGTTGGGCGCCTTTGCCGTATTGGATCCATACCAAATCTAACAATCTATGAGTGACATTGGTGCATAACTCACGCGTGCAAAGACCAAACACACTCTTTATGTTCAAGGAAACTATGTTTGACTTCAGCCGTCCAAAAAGTGCCGTGCTGTTTCTGTGTACCTGGAGGTCGAAGAGGGAAGGCTCCACCGGACTAGTATGACGCAACCGGGTATCCCGAGATTCGGTATCATTCCGAAGGAGACCCCAAAACTTCAGGCTCTTCGGCATCACTCTTCACAAGCTAGCTTTCCAATCCAACGCCCTCATCCAATAGCGCATATTGTACATGCGCTTCCGCCACTTCGTCGCCCTCGCAGACCCTCGTCTCTACACGCTCGCCAACTTCCGCGTCCGCTCTCATTGGCGCACTATGGCCGCCGCTCCGCCCCCAAACCGCCCCATAAAGCTACTGATGCTTCATGGCTATACACAGTCAGGGCCTCTGTTCCAGGCGAAGACGGGTGCCTTGCGTAAAACATTATCTAAAGCCTTCCCTAAGGGCATAGAACTTGTGTATCCTACTGCGCCGATACGGTTGACACCCGCCGACGAATCGTTCCTAGCAGGTAGCACGGGCAAAGATGGCGAGGGCAAGGACGGAAAGGACGGAGAGGAGCAGGAGATCGATGCGTGGGCGTGGTGGAGGAGGAAAGGTTCAGGGGAACCATACACATACGAAGGCATAGAGCAAGGTCTGGCTCATATCGCAAACGTGTTGAAGGAACAAGGTCCCTTTGACGGTGTCGTGGGGTTCTCCCAGGGCGGTGCCGCGGCAGCCATGGTCGCGAGTCTACTCGAACCCAACCGTCGCGCTGCATTCGAGAAACTTTACCCAGAGGGCGGCATGAGGTTCCCAGAGTCTTTTGAAGAAGACACTGGCTATGTTGAGGGAACCATACATCCGCCGCTGAAGTTTGCGGTCAGTTATAGTGGCTTCGCAGCGCGTGGGAAGAACCCGTATCACGCTTTCTATGAGCCCAAGATCAGCACACCGATGTTGCATTTTCTAGGCACACAGGACGTTGTGGTTGAGGAAGCAAGGAGTTTGGCCTTGGTCCAGGCTTGTGAACACAGCGAGGAGAAGTATGTTGTGTATCATCCTGGCGGGCACTTCCTACCGAGCACACAGAAGGCTAGCGTCAATGCATTGATTGGGTTCATCAAAGAGGTCCTGCAGGAACAGGAGGGAGGGGCAAAGAAGGAGGAGGAGAGTGTTGAGGACATGGATGTGCCGTTCTAGGGTTCAAGGGGATCGATCCAGTCCACTTCAGTGCATCTATGTATACAGAAGCAAGGCGTTTAGGTAGACTTTGATTAGACGATAGACCAAACGCGGCTGCGAGTTCTCGCAGCCATCAATGCCATGCAATGCCACGCAAGACGCGACGCGGGGAGCGCTGGTCACAGGACCAGGCGATATGTGCACGGACCTCATACCCCATTGTTTGGGTTGGCGCCTTTCATGTTTACATCAGTGCTGCCGTCCCGAACACCACCACCACAAACGAAATCACGACATCACCATGGCACAAGCAGGCAAAGAGAACATCGCCGATGGTCTGATCGCGAATGGCTCTTTCAAGGCCTCTACACAACCTCTGAAGAAATCAGCGCCGTCACCAAAGAAAAAGACGCGTAGTAAGAGTATCGGTCCCGGAGGCTTAGGGGAATTGGAAGCACCTCCACTGAAGGAGACGGCTGGAAACCGCAGAAAGGTATGTCTCACATATGCGATCGCGAAGTAGTATGTTGCTTACCAAATAGTCTGCTTTCATCCCCGCCGTCAAGTCTATCCTAGCCTCGAATGATGAGGACGAGAAGAAACGGCGCGAAGCCCGTCGCAAGTCTCTGGGTACGTGTTGGGTGTGCGAAAATGGTCTCGAGGCATGACTGACCAGTACGTAGCAAGGCGACGCGTGTCGTTCGCCCCCGAAGCCACTTTACACACATGGGACGTAGTCGAGTATATGCGCGATGCGACCACCTCTTCTGCCTCATCGGAGGCGACACGCAGAGCCTCAAGCGTCTCACAAGCATCGACACCGGCATCGCCTGCCCCTCCGTCAGACCCCGCCGAACCTCCGTCAACACCACCAGAACAAGCCGAAGAGCCTCAGCCAGAATCTGGTTCGTCACCCGCAAGCGCGCGCGCTCAACACCAGAAGAAGAACCGCCGAAGTTCAGGTATACCCCCAATGAACTTCAACAACCCAGACGACGTCTACTCCTCCAGCCCACTAAGTGGAGATAATACTTCGCCTGGTGGAAATGACAACGAGAGCAGCGACTCTGAGGATATGGATATTGATGATGCTACAGAGAACGTGGGTGTTTCTCCGGAAGTGGAGGACTCGTCCATGAGCAGCGCTCGATTAGATGCTGCACTCCGAGAGGCTGCGAACCTAGCAGGCACTCAGAAGCTGGATTTTGATGATGAAGATGGAGACATGACTATGGAGATTGCACAAGATGAGGTTACTGCATCTTTCAAGCCTTGGGCAAAGAAGAGCTTTGTCGCACAGTACGACAAGGAGAACGCAAGCCCTCTTTTCTCTCCAGCACGCACGGTAGCCGACGAGGACGACGACATGAGCATGGACATCACACGTGCAGTGGGTCGCATTGTACCGCCGCCACCGCAACAACCACAGCGGCAGCAGCAGCAGCAGCAACATTCTGATGCAGCAAACTCGGACATCGACGACGACATGACAATGGATCTGACCATGCCACTTGGCAGTATACAGGCAATGGCAGCATCATACAAACCAGCGAACAAGAGGAAAAGTCTTAAGAGGAGGGTTTCCTTGCTGGATGATTCTCAAGGTAGCCCTGCAAAGCGCCCTGGAAGTCGGCGTACCAGTTTGCGAAAGCGTCGACAATCCGAAGAGCACGATCAAGAAGACGCAACCATGGACCTTACGATGGCGATTGGAGCGATTAAGAAAGCGCCCCAGCCTGAGCCCGCCAGGCGTGCTAGCATTGGAAGCGTTGTTGATGATGCGACTATGGACTTTACCCTGGCCGTGGGCAGTATCAAGAACGACAAGCCACAAGCGCAGGAAGTACAAGAAGAACCAGAAGAGCAGGATCTGGAGGATGAGGTCGAGGACGAGGATCTTTCCATGGAATTTACCAAGATCGTTGGGCCAGGCATCAGGCGTGCTAACAGTTCAGCAACATCACCAGAGACGCCTGCTGATGCTACGCCTGTTTCAGCAAAGAAGACGCCGACTCCGCGAAAATCTCCAAAGAAGTCACCCGGTCGAAGAAGTTCCATGCTTAAAGCCGAAGCCGAAAGCGCGCCTCAAGTATTACAGGAGATTACACCCAGTACATCAGGAGAGGTGTCCTATCCGATCCTTGACCCTGGAACTCCAGAGATTGTAAGGCAAAAAGATATTGAGGAGGTTGAGCCGTCACCGTTCGTGCGTCGAACTCCGCTGAGTGCCTTGAAAGAGAAAGACGCCCTTGCGACACCCACGAACCCGACACCACAGAGGACACCCATGGCAATTCCTGAGGACCCGATCGCAGCTACAATCCTGGACCGACGCCGTTCTTCCTTGTCTGCAGTACAGTTCAGTCCTTTGAACGCACCACGCCAGGAACCTACTCTCAAGAGCACCGCACTCTTGAGCAACAACATCAAGCTATTGTCCACCCCCCGAAAGCAGACTTTGACATCACCGGTGAAGCGAGGGATGACGCCAAAGAAGTCCCAGTCTCCTCAAAAACAGCCAACACCGACTCCCAAGAAAGCGACTCCCAGAAAGAGCATGAGTCCGATGAAGCGCGTTGCATTTGGTGCAGATCCAGAGCCGGAAGAAGAGACCAATGATGACAACGATGTAGCAGAGGACTTGTCGGACGTCGAGCGTATCTCGCTACAAGATTTTCTTGACATGACAAAAATTCGCTTCATGGATCTTAGTACGACCAAGCGACGCCATACTGCTGCCCCTGCCGCATTCCACGACGTGGAAATAGAGGAGAAAGAAGAATCTCTAGACCGCTATGTCGTGGCTGGTGCTTGCACGCTACCCGAGTACGAATTGTACCAACATGCGTGTCACGAGATGAAGAAGTATATCTCAGACGGTCGCCACTTCGTTCGTACTCTGGAAAACAATGTTCTAGAGGAGAACCCACTGCTATTCAGCGAGTACCTCACTGCTCCCCCGGATCAGCGCAAGGTCATGGACAACCAATTCAAGAATCTCAAGACGAACGCGCGCCTCGAAGCTCGTGGAGAGTGGTACACATGGCGAAGTACGCTATTGCACGATCTTAAAGCTGGTCTTCTCCACACCATGGATTGCTTCAGCCACGACGAATCTACCCTTCACAAGCAGGAGAAGCTTCTTAACGATACTCTTCCGCCTTTAGTTGAGAAGAAGGAACATCTTTCCGTTGAATGTAAGCAACTACAGCAGCGTCATGATGAACTCAACAGCTGTGACCGAGAAGAGCTCGAGCAAACAAGAGAGCAGCTCACGGCTACGGATGCTGAGTTGGAGGAGAAGAAGTTGCTTCTGGCCCAACTTCAACAGGAGCTCGTCGACAAGGAGACACGCATAGAGGCAGCCAAGAACCGTAAAGTCGAATGCATTGAAGAGATCAGAGGAGCTGAACGCGTGCGGGAAGAGTGCCGTGGCTGGTCTACTAGTGAAGTCAGCAGTCTGAGAGGTATGTCAAAACTGACTTCCATACGAGAGTCCTACTAACATAGCACTATAGCCAAACTCACCGCTCTTGAGCAGGCTCACGGCTGGTGCATCACTTCTGCTTCCTCGACTAGCATCACGATGACACATCTGAACGACCTCGAACTGTACTTCGAACCATCTGTCTTTGCCACCGGCGAGAATACACCCAATGGACCTATCTCGCTTGCCTACATTGGTGATTCGGCGACACCGCACTCTCGCTCCTTGACAACAAGCAAGCGCTTTTTCCTACAGCTCATCCGCGCACATCTTCATGGCATTCCTCAATCACAAACCCGCATCTCCTCACTCCTTTCTCTTGTCAAGAATGCATGGGCTACCGCAACTGCTGTTGCTGAGGGTGTTCGGTGGCTCGAGCACAGCTACATCACTGAGGAATCAATTCTCTCGGATGAACGCATGGCAATCTCCACAAATATGTTGCTGCCCACCCTCCAAACAAAGATCAAGGCTACCTTCGAAGTCGGCGTCGGTCTTGGTAAGGAGGGCTTTGAGACTGATGTTGATATCAAGGCGGAAGTTGTGTACGGCGAGAAATATGGAGAGGAGAAAATGGGCGCGTTCTTACGCGACTTTTGTGGCAATGAGGTCAAAGACGAGAAAAGCATGTCGGTTTGGGCAGATGGTATGCTGGATCTTGCAGCAAGGTTGAAGAAGACTGGGCGGAAGGGAGAAAGGAAATAGAGTCGCATGATCGACTTCATGATGTTTATGACTTAGTTTTATCTTTTATGAGTGACGAAGGCGTCTAAGATAGAGGGTCTGTTGATTAATTGAGATACCAGTCGCATAGACAATACATTCGTCTACTACTTGAGCCGTCGCGACCTTCCATACTACCACTAGCAGGCCTTTGTGGCAACGCTGTTCAACTATTTAGTGTTGCGAATCTCCACCACACCGAATCTGTGCTAGTTATCTCCAGCCTCTCCGGAAAAACTCATGATCGACGTCATGCGGAACATCTCTAGAACCCGGCATAGCCCACTTCTTTAGCAAAGTCTCGGCGCAAATTATACCGAAACTCACGATTCATGGAACGTTTGTTGTTGATGCTCAGCCCATGCTATCCTGGTTTTGGGGTGTCCCCGCAATCCGGGGTCGGGAATGAGCATGCTGCAATCTGCGGAGACATGGAGAAGAGGCTAAATCTGGCCGTTGGGTTAGTGCATCCGATTCAGTATATGTAGATGTACCCAGCCGTCGAAGATCATGAGTTTCGTCGATACGCGTTCGCTACGATGTTACTCTCCGCTGCGTCTGCTGTCCTGGCCTTTCTGGCAGGAGCTCCATCCGTTTGCGCGTCACCAACCCAGCACCTACAGCAGAATGCATCCAATCCGGTTGTGAAGCTCGACTATGGCACCTTTCGCGGCGCGTCTTCGTCCCAGTACAACATAACATACTACCGCAAGATCCCCTTTGCAGCATCCACAGCAGGAGAGAACCGGTTCCGCGCCCCTCAGCCACCACTGCGTATCACCAATGGCACGTACGACACCGATCAGGCTTTCGACATGTGTCCGCAGCGCACAGTAAATGGCTCAGAAGATTGTTTGTATCTAGGTGTATACTCACGGCCTTGGGATAAGAAGAAGCAAGATCTAAGGCCCGTGTTGTTAACGTTTTACGGCGGCGGTTTCATCCGAGGAAGCGCCAGCTTCAATATCCCGCCTTCCGGCTACCCGGTCTTGGACGTCGATGACAGGAACGACTATGTAGTTGTGTACTCGAACTACCGCACCAACGTTTTTGGCTTCTTGCCCGGTTCAAAAATCGCAGAACACCCGGATGTCGATCTCAACCCTGGGTTACTAGATCAGCAGGCTGCGCTGCAGTGGATACAGAAGTACATTCACCACTTCGGCGGCGACAAGCGGAATGTTACCATATGGGGACAATCGGCGGGTGGTGGCAGTGTCGTTGCGCAGACAATTGCTACTGGTAACCGTGGGAAGAAGTTGTTCACCAAAGCCATGGCCAGTAGCCCCTTCTGGCCAAAGACATACCGGTACGATAGTGAGTGGGCGGAAGACTTATATCAGCAGACGTTGCAGGATGTTGGTTGTACGGGTGCTGCAGATGAGATCAAGTGTTTGAAGGAGGTGGATGTACAGAAGCTAAGGGATAGCGCATTGGCTTTGAGTACTAGTCAGCAGTACACCACTGCTTCCTTTACCTATGGTCCAGTTGTCGATGACAAATTTCTCACGGAGCCGCTGAGTAGCGTTGTCACCACGGGAAAACTGAACGCTGAGACGATCATGACAAGCTACAATCTGCATGAAGGCGAAAACTTTATTCCTCCTAGTTTCCAAAACGCCAAGACAGGAAGCGATGGGTTCAACTCATCAGCTGCTTCTTTCGATGCTTGGCTGAGGGGCTTCCTACCGGACTTTACGCAACAGGACCTGGACAACGTAAAGATGATGTACCCTGCGACAGGCACCGCGGAGGAAATCAGCTGGAATACGACATATGTTCGCGCTGGCTTGCTATACCGAGACCTCGTTCTGGCATGTCCTTCGTATTGGTTATCGAAGAAGGCAGAGGATGGGTGGTTGATTGAGTATACCATTTCGCCCGCCAAACACGCGAGTGATGTTCAATATGTACGTTCATTGCTACCTGACCACAGCATATCGACTCAGGATACTGACTTCAATTAGTGGAACACAATCGGTTCAATCCAGCAGACAGATGCTTTGACTTACCAAGGTTATGCTGGTGCCATGGCTTCCTTCATTCAAACTGGCGATCCAAACGCCCACAAGGTCACTAATGCCACTGTTGCTGGCGTACCAGATGTTGAGGAGGGCAAACAGTTCTTGGTCACATCGAGTGGGCTACGACAAGGTGGAATTAACATGTTGGAGGACAGATGCAAGTACTGGCTTCAGGTCGCTGATAGGGTACCTGTGTGAAATCTGTACATGAATGCAGTAGTGTGGTATACGTCTAACGGTCAATGCATCTCCAATTTCTATCTTCTATACATATGCCAGGAGGTTCACTCAAATTCCCACCTCGACACCGCCGCACTTTCACGATCTATGTATGTGCATGGCACGAATATAAGACACCCGTTTGCTTTCAGTGACACCGGTGGAGAGCGTTGTCCAACTAGTCCTCATGTATGATGAATTTGTTCTTCTTATAGAACATTTCCTTCATCATGAGCCAGTTACCTCTACTGGTGATACCAAATGCGAAGAAGTGCCTCATACTCGGCAACTTCCAGTAGTTCCCATAAGGGAGTCTCTGTCCGTGAACCCCAAATGGGTGCTCCTGCAATCTTCGCTCCCTCTCCACTAGTGCAATATGCTCATTCTCGAATCGATCAAATACGACATGGATGTCTCCATTGATCTTGAAGACCTTTTCGAGAATCATTAACATGATCTCAGCAGGTAGATCAGTCACCAGCCGTGAAGGCATGTTCGAGCTTGCAGGCCAGTCGGGGATATCGTGGTATCCAATCTGCCCAAAGTCGTACCATCGCCTGAAAATCTTGTTTTCTTAGCCAGGTGGCAGAGTGAACCAGGCTTGACGTGAACATTGCCTGATGGTAGGGAATTCCTGGTCGAAATCATTCTCGCGGAAGCTGAGGAATTCCTTTATAGACTTCAGATCATGTAAGGAGAGTTCATGATTGTGGAAGGAGAAGAAAAGGTCATCTACCATGTTCTGTGCTGATATAGCACACAACATCAGGTCTTCTGATCGAAGCAGTGCCATTGTTATCCTCTGATCAGTCGTGAGCCTCAGACCTCGTCCGGTAGTCCACTCCCAATACAATCGAGTGCCTCTGGTGAGCAGCTCGCGGAGAAAGCGTGGAGCTTCGAAGGCATCGTAAACATTTCTATGGAAAGCGCTCCACGGCATGATCTCGTTTCTGCCCCATAATGTATGTGCCCAGAGCGTGAAATAAGCTTCGGTCAAGGTTTCGGGGTCGTCAATGTCCGGGGCCTGGAGATAGTGACTGGCGTTGTCCTCCTGAACTCCATAAATGAATGCTGATGCCATTTGAACGAGTGGCCCTATGTGGACGAGCAGTTCCATGTTGCCGCTCTTCATCGTCTCGACTATGAGTTCTGTATGCGTTTCCACGAATTTACGGCGCGCTTTGACTGACGGGAAACTGTATGCAGGGATAGCAGTTGCGGGCGGTTTTGACACGTTGTCCGATTCGTTGCTTGCTGGTCGCGGAGGAGTTGCGGGGGATTGTGGTATGCTGCTCGACTCGGAGCTTGTTGTCACCGGAAGAGTCCAAGGTGGTTGTGACATAGTGTTCGAGTCGCAGCTTGCTGGTAACTGCTGTGTGTTGGATCAGGGGGCGCGGTGGCAGATTTACGGTATTATGACTTCCTGAGAGTGTGCAGAGTGGAAATTGACGGAGTCGGTGTCGAGGCAAACGAGAGGAACCGCGTGTTTGCAAAGGCCCTGTCTACGCTGGCGCCATATCGTCATACCAATGTCCGAAAATCAACAACAATAGGACTATGTCGCAGGCTATCTGCAATTGGTCCGCTACTTATATAGCCGCAGAAAGGTATGTTCATTGCCTTCTTGAGCTTCCCTGCAGTTTGAATCGTGTACTATACTTGTAGAGCATTGTTCTGGGAGACTCAATCCGCTTTCTACTCCCATAAGATACTGTCGAATATATGTTTAAACAGTATATGAGACCTCTCATACTTAGTGAAAGGCTCCCGGAGTCAGATATCCGAGATGTGTGGACAAAATTCTGCTTTGCGACAGGGGCGGGTACGTCATTACCTGCCCATGCCCCACGAGCAAATTCGTGGACGGGAAAAACATAGCGAAGAAGACATAAAGTACTTCCAAAGTACATTGTCAAACTGCTGTTGATCGTTGAACCCTTTGAGGGTGTATGAAGAAAGATGAGATGGAGTTCCAGATGGCGACTTCATGAACTCGGAAGCCATGCCTCAAAGGGAAAAGCCGAAGCTTATGTCAGTGCTCTTCCAACGTCGTTGAATGGCTTGAATGTCGCCTTTCCATCATCATCCCATCGATTTCCATCTGTTTGAGTCTGTGCTTCATTTTGCAGGGCTACGGTCCGCTTCACAGGTGCATTTACACATCCTGAGGGCTTCCGAAGCCCGCTATGCCTTATGATGGCGCGGAGAGTGGACACAAGCAGTTCTTCCGCTCGTAGCAGCATGTGAGCCAAGTACTCATATCCAGCCTCAAACGTTTACAGATCCACCAAGCGTGTGCTCATGATGCAGACTCTTGTCCGACGAACAGGAGAGAATCCACTCCTTTGCTCGTCTTCCCATACTGTGCCTGTCGCAGTTTCTAGACCGGCGTAGTCCTTCGCAACGCGCGCAGTCAGCGTGTTTTGCTGTTGTCATGTTCATTCGCACTGATGTTTGCGGTGTCGCTAGTTGATAGCTCTGTGCCTTCTCTCCTGGTGGCCGCGCCTTCTCCCCCAACCACGAAGCCCACACCACCGCATTTCACGGCAACGGCAGCACCATCTACAAGTGCTCGAAACTCTGCTCGTACGTCTTTGCAAGACTTCGGAGATCCATGCTCAACGTGTTGTCTTCTCGCTCCTTCCCAGGTCGCCGCAGCTTCGCTCGGATACCCGCCGTTCATAGTGGGCTTCCGACTCTACACCAATGACACCACCATGACAAGAAGTGACGGAGGGACAGGACTAGACACCCAGAAGATCGGCAGGACCCCTTGTTCTTCTCTAGAACCAGGAGAGGCCGCGACAATTGCGATGACCGTGGGCAAAGCGCCCAGAGGCATCTCCCAAGCCGTGACACGAGAGCAACGACACCAGCTGAGCGACTACAGGTAGGAGAGCTGATTTATTCTCACTGAGTATAACAGCAACCTCATTTACTTGCAACGAGGATGCTCTTATCGGTTCAGCCAGCAGATGCGACGTCAACCTTGCCTCCACCCCCAGTTACCTTGACGAGTAAAGCCGCATACACATCGCGCCTACCGGGATAGCGACATACGACCAGCTCTGGCCATATCACCATCGAACGGTGGCACTGATATCAGTATCCACGGGCAGACAAGCCACGAGGCCTCGAACGAAGGACCTGTCCCCATTGCGGACGATCAACCCCGCGGCGAATAGCTCACTTCCGATGTACATACAAGCTATCCCGCTCGACCTCTACTACAACATGACGGAAAGCGGACAGAATCAGTGCCGGCTGTCACTCACTTCCAACTTCAAAGCGACGTTCATATCGCCGCCTTAGCCAGGTGACAAGTGTGCGGCGCAACAACTCCTCAGCCGTGTGACTACGGCATTCGCCACTCCCACAGCTACGATTCAGCCGCACCGTAGCTCTAAGCGTATTGAGAGCCGGAATCTGACTGTACCATCTAATGACAAATTAGCTAGTCAAGGCTTCTCCGCCTTCAACTCTGCCCAGTGGTATGGCAATGAACCACAGGCGACAAATTGCCCACGACTTCCGCAATGTCAAGGATGCCATAATGTCCATACAAATGGGGAAGATTTGAAGGTCGTGATGGAGTAGTCAGGACTGATTGGATCGAGCATCAATACCAACGCAGCAGAACAGACTCCCAGTGCTTTCCGTATTGCGTCAGCGAGCAGATACTGTGCGTTGATCCCAGGCGCCATACGCTCACACAACTCTTCCGCAAAAAACAAAACAAGATACACTGGAATGTGTCGGTGTAGCGACAGGGTTCATAACCATGCTGAGATACTTTCAGGATGGAAAGCGTGCAGTGCTTCCAATCGCAAGAGTAGGCGTCAAGACTTTAGGCTGTTTAAGTTACAGACAAACGTTCGGAGTGTTTCGGGTGCATGGCCGTGTCCACTGTATTCTACGTTACCACGACATCCCCGTTTCGTCGAGATTGAGAAGCTTCCGTTGGCGGTGGTACCTTGTGGCCACTGACTACCCCATTTCGTGGTCGATAAGATGGCCAGTGAAGCATCTCTACTGTTCCGGTTCAGGAAGCACCGAGCCATACATGACAAAAGTCTCTTGAGTCTCGAGCCCCAACCGGTAGCTCTTGGAAAGACCATTACATCGATGCACGAGGCTATCTTCGGAGAGCCAAATCTACTCTGCCACACCTACACCTGGGCGATCCCAGGCGCTTAGACGGCTCCTGCTTATCTTCTGTCGGTATAATGAAGAAGACAATTTAAAGAGACGTGACATGGGTAGTGCACGGCGAGAAGTGTTTGGGTCGATAACGAAGTTCGTTACGAGCATGATCATAGCCCAAAACCAGCTCAACGACAGCGAGTTTGTGTCTCTTTCCTAAGCTATGTCAGCATTGACGCTTCCGATATCTCATCTGCGGAAGATGGTACTGCCAACTAGGTCAAGAATTCGCAGCCTTTGTTGTTTGTATCCTTCGTCGAGCGCCAAGCAGTCTGGTAAATCTTTTCCTCAGAAGTATGACTTCGACATTCTCGGTCGTGCACGTGTGAACTCCTTGAGAACGTCCTGTCGCCCCTGTACTCGAGCTGTTCCATATCCCAGTGTCGATCTCAACATTGTTGTGGCTGCGGCCATAACCCTTCGTTGTCTTTCGATCAAGTGGAGAAATGGTCTGCCGTTCGGCCTGCTCGTCTTCAGTCTATGCGCAGGCGTGAGGCTGGTACGTTGCCAGCTTTCTGATCAGCTGTTGATTGAGGATGTACTGTTATTCCATCCAGGCCTGTTGGTGAGGTGCTACGACCGGCTCGGATTCTACGTTTTCTCGGTTCGAAACGATAGTTCGGCATGAGGAGAAGGGCAACAGCCTGCATTCTTTAGTACTGCGATGGAAGGAAAAAAGGCTGTATTCTGGTTACCCATTCTTGAGTTATCCGATACCCACCTGTTACTCTCCAGGTGTTCCTGGGTGTAGGTTGCGAGGGGTACTTACTCAGACTCCGCATCGCACTCGTACATTCCTCGCTACGGTCTTCCTGAAGTTCGACACCAAGCCAATGTATCCAATTCCCTTCTCGCCGCCGTTGTTGGTGTCGAGTGTCAGGCGTTGCCGTGAGACTTTCGGCAATGCGACAAGCTCGTCGTGGGGATATCTCCGCCTCGATGGCGAGGCCTTGAGTGACTCGATGGCTTGGGAAGAGACTTCCTTGTTGTCGTACTTTTCGATAGTGTTACTGTCTAGGCGCAATCTCTGTGCGCTGCGGCGAGAGGTCCGTTATCGAGGGAGCGCTCCAAGAGGCTCGACCAGTTAGAGAGTCGACGAGAGTGAGGCGGTTGAGACTTGCTGCAGCATCAGTCGAGCAGATCTATCTCAGTCGGTCCGACGGTATTGGCCAGGGCAATAGTGGTGCTGCAAACACGGTGTTGAGGCCGCGGAGGAGCCCGACTTCAGCGCCTGGCTCAACACGACGACCGCAGACCTGCTAAAGGCAGACATAATATCTCGTTACATTTGACAGTGCGAAGCCCTGGTATTCTCCCAGATGGTCCGCCGCCGAATGGCAGTGCCTCTCCACTTGCATTGTAGGGTTGCAGCCTGCGCCCTGTTGTTAGTTGAGGGAGAGATTGTCATGGTCGCGAGATTGATCATGAGACTTCGGGGTCAATTCACAGTAAGCATCGGAGTACTGCAAATTTGTCGAACCACTGCACGGCCCTTGTGAATACCAGGCAATTGAGCGATCAGCCCCTTAGTGCGGTCAAAGGTCGACAGCCAATGCATTGGGTCTTGATACAACTCAGGTCCGTTTTAAAAGCTGTAGAAGACACCCAGGATATCAGACCTTGTACTGTTCCGGACATGAGGGCCTGATGAGCTGCTGGATGCTTGTCGGGGTATTGGATCACAAAAAGGACATGAGAAAAGGGAGCCAAATGCCTACTGTTACGTCCTGTTGCCTTTGCCGTTGCCTTTGCTATCACCGAAAGCCAAACACACACAATCCTCGCTCCCCTGCCGCTACCTGTGGTCAGTCACCTTCATGTCTCTCGCTAATATTCGACCAACTCTCGCACCAAAACCATCTATTTTGATGTCTTTTGAACATGTAAAGGCTCTAATTTCTCCTACTTTCAGCTAATACGGGCAACGCGGTGAGGAATGGTCTACTAGTAAGTACATCTCTCTTTCTTTATCAAGCCGCCAGCGGGGCTCGAGGTTCGAATCGCCACCGGGTGGGTCTACCTTCCTCGGGATATAAAATGGAAGCCAATAGGTATCACAAGGCATTTTCCGGACTCAAGGTACGCTATATATTTCTTTCAAACTACAAGAGGTTCTAGGTAAATGAGAAGTGTGCCTTCGTCTGCTTCGGAGGAGTAGAGTACCACAGTATACTAGCTGTGTATTCGAACCTTTTTGCATCTTGTTTTACCATCTCCTCCTCCTCCTATTCTTCTTCTGCTTACGCTATCATCCCTTGTTGCTGCCATGTCCTTTGCCTAGCTTCGCGTAGAGCTAATACATACAATTCTGCATATAGACGGCCTTCCTATCAAGATTTCAACCACCCTGTTGCGCCTCCAAAGCGTCTAATGCTTCTTCTGCTAGCCTCATCATCGTTGTTATCTTCCTAGGCTGCGGTCACTTGTCGGGAAGTAGACCACAAGAGGCGCTGCCAACATCAAATCTCTTTCTCCTAGTATTTCCGTAGGCGTGGCGTGTATAGAGCGTGTATGTAGAGCATGTGCAACTACACTCAAAGGTCTCGAAGAGTAGGGAGCTGCTGTAACACAATTGTTGCCTTGTGTAGTTGCCTATTTACATTGCAGCATCTACATGCCGTAAATACCCGCTACATCTGCATCTCCTACATGCAAGAGCAGTTCTAGTCGTATGTACAAGCATGGCGCAGTCGTAGCATGTTTCGATGTCTCGGAGCTAGGACAACTTCTTGCGGGCCTCAACTTAGCAGCTAATACAATGAATCAAGACCAACCAGACACCTGGAAGATAGCAGTCTGTCGCGACATAGATTAAGCCGTATTACGCTTCAAGTCTTGAGTATATTTATACAAGCATCTGTGTATGAGCGTGAAGAAACATATCAAGTTATTATCAACGCATTTCAGTTCATGCCGAAGCCGCCTCTTCTTCTTGTTCTTGGAGCTAAATCTCGCACATCTAAAGAATAGAGATGCTTCATCCTATCCTTCTTGAGGACGCATGAAATGTCTATGTTACCACTTTACGCAATTTGCGAAGCTTCATGGCAATCAGCACATACGAATATCGGCAGAGATGTTCACGGAATAGAACTTTTATTTTAACGTCACATTCACACGTGTTTCCACCCAGTTTCAACGAGGACCTGCATTTCGTTGACAAGACAAAAGTCGCCGCGCTCCCAGCTGTTTGTCTCTGCAATCCATTTTCCTAGCCTCGTACGTACAATTCGTTCCTTGAACAGAGGAGTTGTGATCAGTCTTATGATACGACTCCACCATACTGACTGGAAGATTTGGAAGGGAGACAGTATGGCATCCGGCGAGTGTAGGGCATCGTACGAGGAACCGTTGTAACCGACTCTGACGTTGGAGTTGAGGAAGACGCCTTGAGTCAGGGAAAGAGGATTATCCGCGTGTATCAGGCAGCATTCAGATGCTTCGACGTGTGATGACGCGAGGGAATCGGGGATGCCACGAAAGCGTAGGGGAGGGCTCGCGACGAAGGGTTCGATGGGCATGGCAACTGGCGCTCGTTAGTAAAGTTGGGGTATGCGAGAAGAGGATCCTCACCCATTCCGTTCCAACAAGAGGCGACGGGTACTGGCGAATATCTTTCAGCTGCATGCCTTGAGATGTATGACCTGAAATAAGGCCAGGTTTGTATGACCGTCTCGTGGCCGCTCGAGTCTCGGAGTGCGAATGTATCGTAGAATTGCGGCGGCTTCTTGAAGTCGATCGAGCAGGCTGCCGCGTATTTTCCGCCGTTTGTATCCAACAATCTCAGAACATCTTGGGGTGTAAATACCACGTCGTTGAGAAACAGTATGGTATCGAAGTGCTCGCCTTCAGCCGTCAGACGTTCCAAGGGCTGGAAGACACGATTTCGTATGTTCGCTAGAAATGGTATACGCCGCTTGTAATCCCTCCCGTCCGGTGCCTTGACCCATCCATGTTCCGTCGGCTGCTGTGCAATCTCGTCCGCGTGTGATGTTTCGGACAGTTGTATCGACCTCCTGACTTGTAGGCCTTCCAGCACCGTGTCCAATTCTCCTAGCACAGCCTTGCTGTCATCATAGCTACCACTTTCGTATATCGATACGAACACGTTCTCAATGCCTAGTTCTTGTACCAATGCTACCAGCGCGTTGTTCCAATGTTCTCGGAGCAGTCGCGCATTGTTCCAGTGCTGGGAGGCTATGTATACGCGCTTCGTGTTGCGAGGTGGGGGCGGGGCAGTGGTTGTCGCTGTTTGGTATCTGTATAAGGAAAGGCAGTGTAGTGAGTCCAAAAGGACATAAAGAAGGACGAGTATGCGAAATGCAGAAGATCGTGGAAGTCGGCGGAAGGAGTATGACCTGTAATGACGCATTAGGAGACTATGTTTCTGCATAACTACAGTGCCATTGAGAAGAGGAGATTATGAATCTTGTGAAGGAGCGCAGAGAATAAAGGAGGCCGTGAAAGTAACAGAGCAAAAGGATGAGGCAGGTGCAACCTACTACGAAGTCATTCACGCTTCCATTTTGGAGCTCTTGATCTAGGCGTTGGCGCAGCAAACGTACCACTTCTTGGTACGAATTTAGTTTGCTGCTAAGACGGCATCTTGGTGGTAGTGTAGTAAAGCCGAGGTAGCCGTTTCGAAGAGGGCACAAGGTGAACCCTAGAATATACTTGGCATCTTGTTGGGCCAATCACATTTCTTCTCGTTCCGCAGACCTCCGTATGCGAGTGATTGCGCCAGATGGTCGCGACGAACAAGTGGAGTTGGCAATTTGTTTTGTGGCAGTGTGATGAGTTTGGTGATAGCGCAAGGGGTTGGACGAGCGTCTATGTCAGTGCCTCGTCACGTGGGTGTCGCACAGAGACCATCTGGGCAACTCCCTATCATGAACCTGAGCAGCATCACCAAGCCTATGAGGGCTGCGGAGACAAAAAGCAGCCTGAGTGATTGTCTAGGCGAATAAAATGACGACATCTGGAAATAGGAAGAGATGGGCAGGAGAAGACACAAATGATTGGTAGTAGGAGAAAAGATGTCCAGGTCGCTTCGACTCCTTTGAGGTACGTTACCATGGTACTCAATGTTAGTCGAGAACTCTGGTTGCAGTCCAAAATGCCATCGACCGAGACACATATATATAGGGCGCACTTCGTTACTCACCTCTTGTCTGACTACTACCTTCTATTCCTATTATTGTTATTATTAATACTAATTTTCAATCGCAAGATCTGAGCGCAACTTGGTATGAGCGCAGAACTGATTCGTCAGGCTGACAAGCGGAAACTATCCCCAGAGCAGCGTGTAGATATTGCCCGTACATCGCGAGTCAGAGATGAGTGCGAGGATGAGCAAAGAATCATGGCTAAGAGAAGAGTCGTGGAAGGAAGGCATATCGAAAGTGAGTTTCCTAGGCAAGACGACTGCACGGTTTGCTCATGGGCAAAATATCAAGCGTCGAACTGGATTACTTTCTCCCATCACGAACCACGACGCGATACCTTGTCCGAAAGCTTACCACCAGCTATGGTTATTCCAACAGGACCGAAAGCTTCCCATCGTGCCCCCTTCCGTTCGTCTTCTCCTATCAACGTCCACGCTCTCTTAACGCCGCATAACCGTGGTCTTTCCAACCACGAGGTCCGAGAGCTCACTGTGCTACAGACCCGAGTCGACAATGCTATAGCCGGCATTGGGCCATCGCTCCGAATTCTACTCAATATACCCAAGTCCATACAGTTGAACATACAACAAAAGCAAAGGGTTTATGATGCCCAAAAGGTCCTCGATATGGCTGTTCTCGAAAGTAAATTGCAGGGTCAGGGAGGAAGTGAAAGCGTTGTCAAAAAGACTCCTTCAACATCTACGTCTCAGTATGGTGGTCGAACGTGGTATGATAGCGATGGCTGGACAATTCTCACCCTGCCACCGCTAGATCTTGCCGAATCGATAGAGGGGTCTCTCATAGCGAGATCTATGTGGGTGGAGACTAACAGTCTGTTGGCACAGTTGAAGAGGGTACGGGTGAAGATCTCCTTTAGTGCCGCGGATCGCGAGACTCTGCGGATTGATACATGATCATGGAAAGGGGAGGATGCGATGGGCGAACATGCTCTAGGTTTGAGTAGGTCTGTGGCTCAAGACAGGGAAGAGGTCCACGTTACTGAAGAGGAGGATCACGCGGCTTTACAGACTTTGAGTATATAGTTTGGGTACCATCCCAAGTCGAATCAATCAGCGTTTTACCCGAATTTCTTTCCCCTTTGATATGTGCACACCCACATGGGTAACATTCAAGGATGCTACGTAAAGGGAAAGCTGAACGAGTGTAAATATGAAGGGTCTGCTGCTACTCAGATTGGCACGTACGCTGCAGTCTATGACAACAGCGCGTTGCTACCTGTTCGAGACCTGGTGTTTCCTTCCTTTCTCAGTTTTCTAAAGAGGATCTGAGATACCCCACAGCGATGTATCTTCAGGGAATTGCAGCTTATCGAGATGTGGCGGAAGCTCAAAGGACCTCAGCAGTGTTGCAGACTTCCGAGTAGTTTATGTTCATGTGCAGTTTTCTGTCACCCCTCATCTTGTCAAGCCTACAAAAAACAGAGCTTCCTAAGGGGTATGCGACTCTTGCTTCGATAGGGAGAGAACTGGAAAACTAGTGCAGCAGAATCGGAGCAGCAAGGCGACGGGGGTCGGGAGCGATGTTGGGATGTTCTTGGGCCTCGCTCAATGGAGATATCTTCGAACCAAGGAATACCTAGGTAGCTGTTCGTTGTGATTTTGTATGAGATGTGGTAAGCTGCCACTCGGGTTGGAAGTAATGACGTCACCATGGTTTGGCCTCGCGAACCATCGTACCCACTGCGATGTTGCAATCAATGGTTTTATCCAAAGAAAGTATAAGCAACATCACCGAATATCAGTACAATAGAAGCAGAGTTTGGTCGTCTGACAAGAAAGCTTGAAGAATAAGCCCGGACAAGAAAAGGCAAAATGCGGATATGCGGACGCGCACCTCACAGCGAAATGTCGCGATGCTCAACGTGGGGTTTCGACATGCCCACGCGTCACAGAAAGTCAACAATTGTAGTGTTGCGCACTTTGAGGAGGTTTGATTTTCCGATTCTCTCTCACCAAATAGGCTGCAGCTACGAGTTATGTCGTGTAAATTCCATAATCGATCTCCTCCTTCCCCCTGACATCTCTTTCCTGTTCCTGGTTCGCTAGCTTGGCTGTCGCGCGAACTGTATCAAGTGTACCCCTCGGGTTAGCTTTGTTACGCGTGTGTCTAACATGGCGCGTCGCGTCACGTCTTGGAGGAGGCAGAAGATTCTCAAACAACAAGAAGCCATTGTTCACAATAAACGTGTTCGTTTCGCTGCATACCGCAAGTCCAAATAAACCCAATGGCGGCTTCTTCTGTGAATTTTCCTCCATATGCGGCCGCTGTGCAGAAGATGGTAGGTAGCCCAGCAGTACGGAGTGGACGGGGAAAGGACAAGAAGCAGAGATTCAGGAAATCGAAAGTGGTTTTGCAACGCGAGAAGCTCGCAGGCCTCAGAGACAAATCAAACAGACGCGTCTGCTCAGAGGTACACGCAGTTTTATTACCAGTTGTGACGAAAGGTCCAAATGCGCGCCTTCCTGCAAACGCAAGGCAGCAGGGTAACAACAACACAACGCCTACTCGCATGCCAACGACCTCACTCACCTCACAACCTAACTGTCCAGTGATGCACCCACATATACTACCTCTTGAGCAACGGACGGCAGAGATACAGGCACTCCAGGAAACTATGCCGGATCGACAATGGGTTTGCACAGACGACATACATCCTCTACAACAGCTCTTAGACGCAAAGAGAGAGCGAAAAGTTACAAACGAAGCAGTGTCCAAGAAACAGACCACGGTGAAGAACAAGAGGAGGAAGCGGGGGAAGCGTCGTCAAGTCCGGCAAGGCGCTGCACAACCCGTCTTCATCAAGACCGAGTCCATTGACGACAGCCCAGACACAAGGCGCGACTCTGCCTACGGCAATGTGTTAGTTCAACTCAATGCATCGAGTTCTCCAAAACATCGAAGATGGACTGGGCCTAAGACAGACAGCATCATCGATATCGTCGCACTGTGCACCTATCCGGGACAGACTATTAAGCCGAGTTCGTTCAGTGGCCTCTTCACCCTCCAACGAAGAATCGATGCCGCCGTTAATGACCAAGGCCCTCTCAGAAACATCTTGCGCAACCTTCCACGCGACATCACCTTAACTGTCGAGCGAAAAGAAGCCATCTGGGTGGCACAAGGCAAGCTCAATAGGATAGTGGACGAACGACGACGTGGGCGCAGACTACAGAAACTCGACCGTTACCTTTCATCTGATCGCCGGATCCCAGTTGATCGCTACGTCCCGGGCGTCTCCTACAACCCCATCCCGCACATGCTGGCCATGAAGGTGTTATCAGAAGTAGTGGCATAGCAATGCGGAAATTAGTCCGTGGATTCCTCGTCGGATAGACTACGTTTGAGAAAGATGAGACACTGAGAAGCTGCGAATACTACACGACTGGTAGGGGGAGATCTGTGTTTGCGAATGCATTCACGACGGTGAATGAGTACAGTATGGGCCTCGCATCTCTTCGAACATGTCTGGCACCCGATCTTGGAGTGACTTAGATAGCAAGCTCGATATCCCAAGCAAAAGCATGATTCAGTTCCTGTATATTATAGCAATCGAGATTACACTAAGACTCTGTCGCGTTACAGAATACATAATCATCGGCACAAGCGCTGAGGGGCCGGCCACTCTACGAAGTGAGAATCCATTTGGGACAAGTTTGATGATAGTACAAGTCCAGAAAAGCTAGGCGATGAAAGAATGGGCACGTAGAAATGCCGCACTCAAGTAAATCGATGCACAAACTACCTCCTTGAGGACCTCACATCAAAGACGTCAACTTCGCGATCGTACGCGGGCAAGCTCTTCCTCCTCCTCCCCGATGCCAAACTAGCACTCCTCCTGCTGCCCTTTGAAGAAGCAAAGCCAAGTCCGCTATCCCTGCGACTCCCCGGCTGCTCGATGACTTCCACGATATCTTCTTCATGCTTGAGCTCACGAACGTCGTGGTCATCTGAGAGATGTTTAATGAGAGCCTTGACATCGCCGCAGACGGTGTCTGATTCAGCGTACTTGGAGCATATGACGCAGCAGTATTGGCCATCAGGACCATCACGGTGGCACTTGACGACAAAACGGTTTTGGACTTGGAAGGTTCGCTCCGTGTCACCAGCCCATTTGGATATCTCCCATGCTTTTCCTGGTGAAAGGTGAAGTGCGCCCTTGCAGTGCGGACAATATGGATCCCTGTCTGATGTTATGCTAGGTGATAGTTGTTGGGTGGGAGATCGCTGGAGGTCGTAGGCGTACACGCAGTATAGGTTGTTAGACCTGGACGCCAGGGTGGGGCCTCTCATCGAGGTGGCGTCAGTGATAGAGGGTTCTGGTTCGACGTTGTCACGCCATGTGAGTACCGTCGTGTTAACAGGGCTGCTGCTTCGCATATGTGAACTGCGGGACCGTGGTTCATGCTTCACCAGAGCTGTGGAAGTCGAGCTGGGAGCAGTAGTACCGGGTTGAAGAGTCAACGCACGAGATGGTGCATGGGACTGCACATGTGAAGGTGCATAAGACGGCGCATGAGAGGGCGCGTGGGATGCTGTCAGAGATTTCGCCCGAGATCGCGTGCGAGATGTTGCGTTGGATGGTGCTCGAGATAGTGCTCGAGAGGTATGGTGGGATGGTGCCTGAGATGGGGCACGGGAAGTATGGTGGGAGGGAGCGTGCGATGGTACATAAGACGTATGGTGAGAAGAGACGTGGGATGGCGCATTGTTTGGACTTGAGCGCGCCGTGAATGAATGCATCGACCGTGGTGTGAGTGGTCGTTCATCTTGTTGGCGTTCTTGCAAAGCAGCCAGTATCTCGACACACGTTGCAGCAGCTACTCTTGACGCTGTGTTGATGCTGGCCAGCTGATTTGCGATAGGCTCACCGGAGGTAGGTCCGTAGAGGAATGTCGTCACCAACACACTCTGAAGAGTGATGATTTGTGACTGAAGAGCTGTATGCGCAATCACTGTTACGTATCCTGTTAGCCCGCTGATCTAGATGGAGTTTCCGGAAATATAATGCGCGTTGTTCGAGATGCAGCAATGTTGTTGGGCGTAAGCCGCAAACCCATCTACCTGATCACGCCATAAGAAAGAGCAAGCTTACCATCACCCTCAGCAAACTCAACCCCAATGGTCTGGTACCCAATATCAAACTGCCGTGTGACTACCGCTTTGTCCGTAACGATTGCTTCGTCGCTACCAAGGCGTTCATCTTTCACGTACTCGATCCTCCTGGAGGCAGGGTAGCCTTTGCTGCGTAGATTCTGTTCATAGTCCCTTTGCTCCTTGACTGTGAGGGTTTCGTACAGATCTCTTGTAGCATCGAATACATCCAAGAGTGTGTCCACCAGAGCTTGCACAACATGCACAGGATCGACGGTAGGGTTCTGTATGGCATCAGTACATGTGAACACACGATATGCCGTTGCATACGGGCCGAATACAGCTTACAGCGATACTCATCATGAAACCTGCAGTTTATTTGTTCTCTCGTGATCCTGCTTTCCCAGATATAAGACCAGGCCAACCTGACTCGTAGCGAAAAGGAGAAAAGCGGTCCGGACTAGATAGCTTAAAAGGAACGTAGCTCTAGAGCCCGATTCTAGGCACCACAAGGGTTCTACTACCGACGCCCCACGCCTCACACTCAGACCCCTTCAATAAGCTCCGGAACGGATGCTTTCTCCACCCAAGCCCTACTCTTGTGAATTGCCTCATGCTTGATGATGGCTTGTACAGCTGGCACCGCGCCATTGGTGCCCCTCCGATGTTCTGATTGGAATACCGACGGCTACGGGCCGCGCCAGGAACGTACCCGCATGGAGCTTGACGTCATTGTCAGGTGTAGCGCCATTGGGACGAAGTGTGGGTGTGACATGCATACAGCCCGCGGGGTGGATGCGTCGCATTACTTCTCTGGGTCAGAGTGGGTATGATAAGAGCCGAATGCGGGTATAACGGGTTGTGTCATACTCAAACGGTCCATTGTAGGGTGGGTTTGCCCACAGCCTCGAAATCCCATTTTTCATCAAGGCCAAGCATCGTGGAAGCGGTCAGAGCGGCCGAACTATTGAAGTGACTGTATCGTGCATGTGCTTCGTCGCTGCATTGGAACACGCGCTTGAGGAATGCGGTGTCGGAACACGTCATCGGGTATTCAAG